TGGTGGATTGGAATAAGAATGTTTTTGGTGATATAGTCAAAAGGAAGAAGGAATTGCTGGCTCGTCTCCGGGGTGTAGATTCTGCCCTTGCTCGGTATGACTCTCAGCGGCTAGTGGACCTTGAAAACCGACTTACGGAAGAGCTAGATTTAGTTTTGAATCAACATAAAGATATTTGGCGTTAAAAATTTCGATGTGATTGGATTCTTGACGGGATGTCAATACAAAATTTTACCATACCTCGGCTAAAATTCGGCGTCGATGAAACACTGTTCTTGCATTGAAGTTGGGGGATGGAGGTTGGTGCACGGACGAAGACAAACTTCGACAAGGGGCAGTCGAATTTTTCAAAATACTGTTTTCATCAAATGACATGGGTTTCCAAGAGTATGCTGTACGAGGTGAATTTTTCTCTTTCCCCTCTGAGACATTGGAGGATTTGGAGAAGGAAGTAGATGAAGAGATTAAGCAAGTATTTTTTGAAATGCATCCTACGAAGGCTCCGGGAATTGATGGTCTTCCTGCTTCTTTCTACCAGAAAATTGGGAAATTGGTTCTTCGAATGTATGTAGATTCGGGATATTATTCCGGTTAGTGTGGAATGCAAAGGATGCTCCAGATTATAGAGAGGTATATCGGTTGTTTGGAAGGATGTCATAAATAACTTGGTTTGGAACCTACGTAATGGAGAGATAATCGACTTTTGGTACGATGCATGGTTAGGCGATTTGGGCCCCCTTATTCAGATCGTTGGTGTGGTGCCTTTGAACCCGACGAAATAAGTTAATCTTTGATACAAAGTTTAAGGAAAGCGAAAGTGTTCTTCAGCGGAGTATCTGTTATCAACAGGAGGTGCGAACGGCTCTGTGCTCTCGTCATGCTAGGCAGGCTGTTCGTCATAAGAAGGTGAATCATAAGGAAGAATGGCAGGCTCCTCCGCATGGATGGAAGAAGCTGAACGCTGATGGTTCGAGACAAACTGTCACTAGGCTTGCGACGTGTGGTGGTGGTCTGTGTAACCGTGATGGAGAATGGGTTATCGGATTTTCTAAACGCATTGGTGTCTGCTCGGTAATAGATGCTGAACTTTGGGGAATATATATGGGATTGAATGTTGCGTGGGAAAGAAATTGCCAGAGATTAATTGTTGAGACGGATAGTAGGGAAGTGTACGGTTTTCTTTATGGAGTTGATGATCTTGGGAATATTTCTGCATGGGTGCCACATATTCAAGAACTTATTCATCGGGAATGGCAACTGAGTTTTCGTTTTGTGCCACGGGAGCGTAACAGAGTGGCGGATGGAGTAGCCAGGTTAGCTTGGAGGAGCGTCGATTCTTTCAATTTGTACTGCTCAATGTCTGTTGAGGTTTCTGTTCTTGTCCCCGATGAGAGTAGGGGGCGTTTAGGAGAATAGTGTCTTATGCTGGCCACCTCTTTTATTAAAAAAATAATAATAATAACAATATAATGGGATTTCTTTTATGTAATTTTTATTTAGCCTTAATATCAAAATAAGTGTGCAAACTATACCGCTCTTCTCAAATAGGTGTCTAAACTAATTTTCGTCTTATTCAGGTGTCTAACGTTACCCATTGAAGTGTCTGAGCCGTCAACAGCGCTAATTTCTGCCATTAAGTGACAAGTGTCATAATCTGGTGATTTTGAAATTTATTTTTTTAAATAAAATATTTAAAATATTGTGATATTTATAAAAAAAATCAAATTTTCTAATATTATAAAACAACCCCAAAATCTCAAACCCAAACCTTAATCCGTCGTGCCGCCCTTTCTAGCCATGACCACTGACGTAGTACTTGCCATCCTCCTACTCATACACCATCGTAGTTTCCGCTCGATTGGTCGTCGAAAACGTGTGGGATTGCGATTTTAATCCTAGGGTTTGGGTGGTTTAAGACGTTGATTCGTTGCCGATAGGTCGTCGATCGGTCACGATTTCATGGGGATTTTGGTCGGCGAGGAGAGGGGAGGTTGGGTAGAGCTTCGTCGACGGCAAAAGGCGGCGGTCGGTGTGAGTTTAGGGGTTGAAATGAAGGTTTTTCAAAGTTTTGGATTTATTTCAAATTTTGTGTTTTCTGTTTTTAAAAATATATAGCTTTAATTTTTTAATTTTAAATAAAACTTTTAAAATTATCAATTTGGGACACGTGCCATTTAACAGGGAAATTAACACCGTTATCGGCCCAGGTGCCTAAATGGGTAACGTTTGTATCGTTAGGCACCTGGATGAGACGAAAATTAGTTTAGGCACCTACTTAGGAAAATGGGTATAGTTTAAACACTTATTTTAGTATTAAACCTTTTATTTATTATTATGTAGATTAAAATGTGCATGTTTTTTTAATCAACTTGATAAAATTTTGTATTTACCATACATGCAAACATATAGACTAAAGAAAAATATGATTAGAAATTGTTTGATTCATCATTAGATTCAATTAGATATAACTCCTATCTCAAGATTTTAATTAATAAAATTGATTGAGATTATATTTAACTTAAGTTGATTTATGTTATGAGATAACTAATTGATCTCATTGGTAAAAGAGAGTGTTATTAGAGTATGAGTTATTACTGATTAAAAAAGATTTTAAACAGATATTATCTTATATTCATCTCATAATATTCAAAAAAATTGATTTATGTTGTGTTTTTCTTTTACAAATGGATTATATTAATCCATAAAACTTGGTCATTTTTATTTATTTTAGTCTCATTAATGATATAAAATTATAAAATTGTGTTACATAACACACTTTTAATGTCTGATCATTGAATAATAAATAATAAATTAAAATTTTAAATTAAGATATTATTATAAACTAAAAGCAAATTTAGGGATTAAATTAAAAAAAATATCGACTAAAGTTTATTTTATCTCCATCTCCAACCAATCATAAATGTTGGACCGATCTATTTGACATTTCTCCTACTCGAGACACAAGCCTTTTTTAGAGTCGCACAATATCTGAGCCTATGCCCCTATCGGAGGGGTCGTGTGGCTCCCATTTTGCCTTTGTTTTTAATTATAGTTTAATTTTTCCTTTAATTAAAAACTGAGTTTCGAGAAAAGGACATGCATTAAAGCCAAGTGGGCTCATTGCAAAGCATTATCCCTTTTCTCCCTACCACATAAGGTGTTGAAATGACATTTTTCTAACTCACCCCTTCATGCATTGATTGCTAAGAAAACCCAAAATATAAATCCGTTTGGATGTTAGTTTGGTTCCAAAATAAGGGTAAAGTATATAAATGGTCCCCATATATGGAGTATCGCTTTATTATGTCTATCGACTATTAAAAGTTACAAAATGAGTCTCTGACTATAGAATGTTGCTTTGTTGAGTCCCTAGACAATTAAAAGTTATAAAATGATTACCCGACTATTCATTATATTCCAAACACATCCCTTTCTGTTAAAAATTGATGGTATTCTAAGCAATCATCATGTTAACATCCAACTTAGACAATTATCAATTTTTAATGGAAAATGATGAGTTTAGAACATAATGACTAGTTATGTGACTATTTTGTAACTATTAATAGTCGATGGACTTATTAAAGAAACATTCTATAATTAGAATATCATTTTATAACTTTTAATCATCGAAAGACTTAATAAAATAATACCCTATAATCGGGGGACTATTTGTGTACTTTACCCTGAAATAAATAAAATCGATTAGTTACAAAAATGAGTTAATATGAACGAAAACATGTTAAATAATGCTACAACACTACTTTTTTCTTTACTTATATATTAAATTTTTTAGATACATTCAGGGCGAAATATAAGAAGGAATAGAGGGGGTATGACCCCAAAATTTTAAAAATTATAATTTAGACTATTAAAGTTTTTAAAAAATTTAATGTGGCCCCCAAAAAATTTAGAAATTCATATTAAATTTTAATTTTTTTTAATTCTCTTAATTAAACCCCTCCCATGATAATTAAAAATTCCCATTAATCTTCTCAAATTTTCAAATATTTTAGCTAGACCCTAATTTTTTAGGAAAAATGCCCTTCACAATTTTAAAAATTTCAATTTAAATCTTTGATTTTTTTAAAGTTTTAAGTTGACCCCATACTTTTTCTTCAAGTTTCGCCACTGGATATATTATATGTATTTTTATGATTTATATTCAAAGTTGGTAATTTTCTCTTTTAATCTTAAGCATGAATCAAACGATTTTGGTGGTAAAAGAATTATTATTATTCATTGAAATCTTGGGTTCGAGCACTATGAATGCTAAGGGTGTGAGCGTTCAATATCAAATGGTTGAATTATCTTTAAATAGATACGGCTTTGTACTTACCAGACTTAATCCAAAAAAAAATTTATTCTTAATAATTGATCATATAAAGAATTGAATGACAATGCATTGTGGGGAATAAGAAAGGGGTAGGAAGCAATCTCGGGCTGAATGCTTTTGTTGTGAAAGTTCTTTTCTTTCAAATCACACGAAAATATCATCTTTTATCTTATGAACTATCATTTCATTTCTCAACCAAACCTCACCAATAAATATTTATAATGGTGCCCACATCTACCATTATTTCTATCCCCCACTTTCACCATATATATATATAAAAACAAAATACATTCATGCTTTTATAATTATATGTATAAGGTTAATTTTATCCATATAATAGTTCTTAATTATTCTTCGTTTTGAATTGTGTCGATTTAATCTGTAAATTCTTTAAAATTTATTAATATTATTTTTATCCACGTAAATCGTTATTAATCATTATAATGTTAATGTGGTAGTCCACATGTGAATAATAATATAATAGAAGAGTTTAATTAATTTTTGTCGAATTTGAGAGATTTTTATGACTTTTAAGAGTGAATTTAGATTTGAATGCTAATCATTCCGTTATTAGCACAAGTCTCAATCCAGCAGAGCTAACGGACGGAGATATTATAATATAGAGGAAATATAATATGTAGGTTTTATAAGGCTATTTAAATGGATGTTTGACAAAGAAGGGCAGATATCCAAGATAGAGAGTAGCAGAGATAAGATATGAAGCGATGATGAGTCGGGAGCCACGTTCCACCTCATCTTGTGCAGCTTGCAAGCTCTTGAAAAGAAGATGCACTCCCAATTGTATCTTCGCCCCTCATTTTCGATCCGATGAGCCCAAGAAATTCGCCAAAGTCCACAAAGTTTTCGGTGCCAGCAACGTTAGCAAGATCCTCATCGAAGTCCCCGAAGAGCAGCGAGAAGACACCGTGAATACCTTGGCCTATGAAGCGGAAGCCAGGCTCCGAGACCCCGTCCACGGTTGCATTGGTGCCATAGCTTTGTTGCAGAGGAAGATGATCCAACTTCAACATGATTTGGCCCTCGCAAGAGCTCGTTTGTCTCTGTATGCCGCTACCAATTCTGCAGGTATCGGTAATACCGACTCTGATCAGTTTAGCACGGCAGCTTTAGGCGAATTCCCGGTTGCTTGCGGAGGAGGATTCATGGATAGTTTTAGCCACACTTCTTATGAAGTGAATCAAGATGCACATATGTATGATTTCACCCAAATTCCATATATATGAATAACATCTTTCCTATTGTTTCTCCTTGTATAATAATATTATCTATGAACAACTTGGCCTTAAATCTTTGTTCAAATATCATCATCAAGCTTGATTTTCTTGGGGGGTTTCTATTGTATAGGTAAAAAAGCAAAGCAATGTTGGTATATTTTCTCACAGGAATTGTCATTTCGAAGGACAGGTGAAATTATAAATTTTACAAACACCTTTGGCAATCCCCAAAATGTAGGCCAGAGTGTTGCCTTTACTTTCAGATAGTTTCACATGGTGTTGTTCAGTGTCTCTAATTCATTCCCAGCATTAATTATCACTAACGTCCCCCACTCATTGTTACCTTGTCCTTTCTCCCCTCTGGTAATTTTCCTAGAAAGTTTTTGACGGCAAGAAAGTCTAGAGAATCTTTTCAATTGTAGTTCAACAATGCAAGTGATTAGCTTTCCATTGTGCCCAACAAAATTTGGAATCTTGACCGTGACCCAAAAAATGCTTTAACTGCAATATGAGTTCTTCTAGATTAACAACAGGCAACACTATAGCCGTTGAAGAGTCTAACGACACCTCGTAGCGCCTCAACAAGCAAAACCATGACTGTTGAAGAGCGAGAGCCCATGGTGCCATAATTGCAGAAAAAAATAGTGCATGGGAAGACTCGATTGCATGATACAATCCTAGAGGTCAGGTCATGAATTTGAGCCTCCCGATACGCATGTTTCTCAATGACCATGGTTTCGTCAGTTCAGGCACCAAGTAAAAGACATTTACAGCAAACTGATTTATGTGCAAGAAATGTTGAATTGAACTCACCCTTCTTTGAGTACTCCATCTAGTAAAAGATCCAATAAAATAGCAGTACACCATGAGAAAACATTTCACATGCATGATCTATATGTTTATGAACATATAAAATGATAGGCCAAAACAGGGCAAAAGCTTCAGTCATTTTCAGATACCAAAATTACATGCGAGGCAGGCAGGCATCTATATGACAACGTTAACATGGCAGCTATGGTAACTCATAGGCGTCATCATCATAAAGACGACATTCGTGTAGACATATTTGGTTGGTTCAACTTTAGTTAAAAATGATACGAAGTTTAATGCTAAAACATTATGAGAAACAGCTTGCGAAATGATTAAGGTAAATGTCGAAACATTTTCAAATGTCACAATTTACCGTAATGCATTCGATCATATCATATTCAGAAACCAAAGTCGTGTTTCACATAAGAAAACAACATCAGCATCTTTCTTTTCAAAGAGACATTCCATGGCCCGAACTGTCACCACCTCCACTTCATCCTTTCAGTGTTTCTCATCGTCATCCACCTCAAAAGCTTCCTCCTCCTTATTCAAAGACCGAGTGTGTTGCTTACCAAGCTTAAGCAAACCACATAATGCAATATTCTTCTCTTTCACTGACAGCCATTTCTTCAAGGATTTGAAACTTGTCACCAAATGGTTAAACTTTCCTATCATGGTTCATTCACAAGCTATGTCACAAAATTCCCAAGAACAAACGAAATGAGCTCAATGAAATCCCTTCTCTGTTATTTTTTTTTCTTCAAAAAGCTAATTTACATTGTTCGATGGCTCTTTCTATGAGTTTACACACGCTCGGATAAAGAATCATACAATTAATACCAATTATAAATGAAGCAAATCAAGAAATTGTATGCCTACACTTCCCTCTTGGGCCGGTTCCGAGTACGTGGAAGCACAGGCTCTTGAACTATTTCGTCCAATGAAATGACATCATTACCATCATCATCATCCTCTGCTTCCCTTGCTGCCTGATTTATAGCAAGCTGTAACACGAAAACCATGAAATGTAAGATTAAGATTTAAGAATATTATTATGAGTAGAAAAAATAATTATAACAAGAAAAGTATAAAAGAGACATTGTACAAAGCAAAAATTGAGATGGATATGTATTAAACCATTGCGCACTTTTATCAAACACCTAATGCCATTTCATTTACATACCAGTGAGATTTCGAATTCTTGGAAGGAATTTGATTAAAAAAACTCATATTTTAAACTATCCGAATACGAATTCCGCTTTAATAAAAGCTCAAATTTTCCAAAGAACTAAGCATGCAATTCTAAAAAAAAGGTAGGATAATTCGAAAACCCCATGATAACCCCTCACATGATAACGAGGGAAAAGAAACGTTTTTTTTCTGCGTTTTTTGGATTCTCACATCTTCGAGGGAGTCTTTGTCGAGCTTATCGGCAATCTTGATAGAAGTGAAGAATATAACGGCCATGAGAGAGAACGGTAACACAGAAGCGAACACGTATCTGCTGGTGTTGGCTCCCGCGCGTGTCAACACCTCCAATTTCCTTCTTTTCCGGTTAGATAAGTCATCAGAAAATGAAAAAACCGCCGGAGTAAGCACGTGGAGATGCATGAAGGATGTATTTGGGATAGAGGGATAGGGAAGGAGCCCTCTAGTTTTCCGGTCAGATATGTAGACGGGTAATTCAACAATAGTCGGAGAAGTGACGTGGAGGTGTCTGAAGGATGTCCGACTGACGGGAGAACGGAGAGGACTGAGGCGTTGCTAGTGATGATGGAGAGACTAGCCATTGCGCTGCTTTTTGGAATTTTGGATGAAATTCGCAGCCTTTTTAAACCGTTTTTATGTCTGTTAAGACATATGATTCCAGTGAGATACGCAGCGTTTTTAAACCGATAACGTGAAGTCGTGAACCACTTCAGTTTCTTAATTGATATGGAAAATTGGAAATGTTCAGTTCCGGGATCTGAAAGAAAGGGCTAATCTCTTTGGCCCCTCACAATTTTGAAATTATACAAGTTGGCCCCTCTCAAATCTCAGTCGAATACACACGACGGATTGCAATGCCAACACAATGCTCAAGGTTTTTCCTTTTTATCTGATATGTGAATGAAAGACGGAAAAACTCAGGCACACGTCCGAAAGGTGTTTCCAACAAAGCCATTGCAATGCATAGTACTCCAAGTACTATCAGTTATGCTCCAAAACCGACCTTTTGATGCTCACCTCGCTTCTTCAACAATCTCAAATCCATGGACAACTGATTCAGTTTCAGACATCTTAAGATCCGTTCCAAAGTTCTTTTTTCAATCCCCTCGTTCCATCGGCTGCCAAAGGGGTTTTCGTCACGGTGCTCCTTTAAAGCAAAGAAACCTTAGACAAGAGAAATTTAAGGTTTCCCACAATGTTCTTGTCCTTGGCCCTGCTGCTTATAGAAACCCAGAAAGGGTAGCCTTGGGATTAGGTAAAGCAATGGAATTCTATCTCTGGGTAGAAAACTTTTTCGGGTTTGCCCATGATGAGAAAACTTGCAAAGAAATGACCTTGGTTTTAGCTAAAGGTAATAACTTGAACGGTCTTTGGCAGTTTCTAAAGGAGATGTCTATGATTGCAAATGGGAGGCTTGTTACTACTTCGACCGTCACCTGTTTGATTAAAGTCCTAGGAGAAGAAGGGTTGGTTAACGAAGGATTGGCATGCTTTTATAGAATGAAGCAGTTTCACTGCAAACCGATGTTGTCGCGTATAATGTCTTTATTCATGCTCTTTGTAGAGTGGGGAATTTTAATAAAGCGAGGTTCTTGTTGGAACAAATGGAGTTACCTGGTTTTAGATGTCCACCAGATGTGTATACTTAAACGATTTTGATAAGTTCTTTTTGTAAGTTCAGTATGCAAACCGGATGTCGAAAGGCAATTCGAAGGAGGCTTTACGAGGCGAATCACTTGTTTCGTGAGATGTTGTTTAAGGGTTTTGGTCCTGATGTTGTGACTTATAATTGTTTAATCTGACGGTTGTTGTAAGACGAATCGAATCGGGAAGGCTTTGGAACTTTTCGAAGACATGAATAAAAGAAATCGTGTTCCGAACCGGATCACGTATAATTCTTTCATTAGGTACTACTGTGTTGTTAATGAGATTGATGAAGGTATTGAGATGCGAAGGAGGATGCAAGGGATGAATCATGGGGTAGCAACAAACAGTTCGTATACTCCGATTATACATGCTCTGTGTGAAGCTGGAAGAGTGTTGAAGGCTAAGGATTTTCTTTTGGAGTCGATTGCAGGGGGGTCTATCCCGAGAGAGTATACATATAAGTTAGTTTGTGATGCACTGAATTCAGCAGGAGCAGCCAATTTGATTGATGATGATCTGCATACCAGAATAAGAGATGGAATCGAGACTCGATGTAGACAAGTGACGAAGGTGAAACATGCAACGAATCGCATCCGGAACCTGGAGGAAGTTTAGTTTTCAAGGGAAAAATGAAGGGAAAACAATAAAAATGAAGTCATGGGGATTGAAAGGTGCAAATGTTTGCTTTTTCTTCCGTTTCTCCCTGTCATTTCGATTATGAATTTTCATATGGTGCCACGGAATGTCTTAATCTTGCTCAAAAGATAAAACTAAAGCAGAAGATTTTCATGTTTTTATAGATATGATCACTTGCTTTGTTTGGGAGTTGAGTCAGAGAAACAACCGTTCTTGCTCGGTGTCTTTTGCCATGTTTTGTCGCTGTCCTGTTATTTATCCAAGCAAAATTGTTGGGATTTTATACATATACTACAAAACTTTATTACCACAGAAACCAAGTAGATAATTATTGAATTAAAACCAAGTGGACAATTTTATTGAAATTGTTGGGATTTTATACATATACTACAAAACTTATTTAATAGGACGAATTCAAGTAGATAATTATTGAATTAAAACTTTTTAAATTTGAAATGAAGTAGCTTACAGACACAAATATCTAATCTACGAAGCTAATCTTCTCATTCCAGAATCCAAAATTTGCAATTCAACTTGATTGGTGGATGAGATGACAACAATCCAACCAAATGTTTTTTTTATAAGAAAGGGAAATAAAAGCTAAAATAAGAAGTAATATTCGGTATCAGGACCTAAAAAAGAAACAATAAAATTATCTTAATAAAGCAAAGCATTTGTTTGTGCTTATTTGATTTCAGATTATGTGAAAAGACGTGATGGGTTGATTCAGTAATCGTTGGAGAATATAATTCGAATAACCAAAGAAAATTACAAAAACAGGACAAAGGTAAAACTTGATGGACGTTACCTTATCTTGTTGTAAATATATGGGGTTGCTTTTAGGTGAGATTTGCATCACCTTGGGCCTTACGCTATTAATTAAAGGGTTAGATGCATAAATTATGCACTTGTGTCATAAGCTAATGGTAATAATTACAGTATATATGCAGAGCTAATTTAATGGATGTATTTGACATGCAAAATAAAAAATAAAAAAGGGTTGGGGTGCATATCTTAGTTTGCATGATCTGTCCACTTGATATACCTAGCTAAGCTAAGCTCAGCTCAGCTATGCATATTTAAAGACAGCCTAGCGAGCTATTTAAATGAATTCTATAATGTTAATTAATTCACACGATGCCCCTATTATTGGAGACATCATACCTCAATTAAATCTTCCCATCTTGTCTTTGATTACACGCATGAATCCATTCAACTTTCGATCCCATCAACACACACTTACACCTCAATTCTTCTGGGGTGATTAACTACACTTTTATCCCTTAGAAACATGAAATCATACACGACAAAAGTGTAAAATTACACTTTCACCTTATCAAATTTGAAATTCAAATCTTATCCCTCAAAATATGTTCCGGTTTTAACTTTATCGCACGAATCAAGTGATCTTAGTAGTAAAAGAATTATTATTATTATTTATTGGAACCTTGAATTTGAGTACTAGAGACTCTAAAAATATGAGCATTCAATATCAAATGACTAATAATTATCTTTGAATATATATAATCTTATATCCACCTCACATTAATCGAAAAATACAATTTTAACTCTGTCCATTTTTCTCAATCTCACTTCTTCATCACTGACGACTCTTAATTTGTATTTTGTTGTGTGAAGCGCTCTCGGCCTCCATCACATCACGTATCAAGGTTTTGAATTTATGAAGATTTAAACCTTAAATAGTTACTGTGAAATAAATGATCGATATAATCTCACTTGTGAAATAGTTACTGTCGGTGTATAAGATAATAATTATTAATTAAAAGTGGTTGAAGCCCCAATAAATAGCTATAAAATTTGGGTGGATCATGTCTTTGAACCATCCAACAATATTTTTTTTATGATTTTCCAAAAGGTAACGAAACAAGCAGTTTATTGCGCAATAATATAATATAAATTAAATATTAATATTAGAAATTTAAGTATTTTATTATTGTTGGTGAGTATATTACAGCTAGTACTTTGCAATTCAAGCCCTACAATCTTTTAGTGATAGAATTCAGGCATGCCTTATTTTCCATCTAAAGTGAACAAAAACATATTCTACATCTGTTTTCCCCTTTTTTCTTTAATATTAATAATTTTTGGATTTTTCCCTTTTGGATAAGAATAGGACCTCCTACTATGTATAATGTACTTATTAAACAATTTGCATGGAATATATGAATAGATATGTACAACTTTATACACATGCATATACATGGCCTTGACATTGATGTATTGTAATTTCACATGTAATTCATGCACCCATACAGCTTTATACACATGAATACACATAATCTTTGACAACGATGTTATATTTATACACATATAGAAGTATCTATGGGACAGATCGAAATCAGGATCAAATTGGTCCATGAATTTCTGTTTGTCCACGTTAGATATTGAATTACGTAATCGTTTTCATTTTTAGCCCTTTTATTAACGTAGCATTTTAAGATCAAGTTTATAGAGTTATGTGAACCGAAAAGTAAATTAACGACTAAATTAAACAAAAATAAAAGTTATTTGTATATAAAAATCTTTCACTTTTGATTAGTTCGGAGTTATTATAAGGTAATATTTATTCTTAATTTTTTTAATCAATTGACTAGGCCTGTAAATGAACTGAACGTTCAGCGAACCGTTCATGAACCGTGCGGCGGGAAGTTCGTTTATGTGCGTTTATTTATTAAATGAACGAACATAAACAATATTTTTTGCTTGTTTAATTAAATGAACGAACATGAACATAGGTCTCGTTCGTTCATTTACGTTCATGAACGTTCGGTTATATTTGTTCGGTTATGTTCGTTCGGTTATGTTCGTTTATGTTCATTCATTTATGTTTAACCCAATCTTCTTAAATCAATTTTGGTGACTAATTTGTAAGTATCTTAAAAATATTAATTAATCTGATATTCTGATAACCAACTCCATAATTAACCCAATTTTATTTGGAGATTAAATCCAATATGTTAACCCCGTGAGGCACCTCGCACCTATATTCAATCCCTTTTTTCCCCCAAACCCTAATATTCACTGAAGAGTAGAGACGATCGCTGAAAACTTCAAAATAAGTTATATTATAGTGTAATATGAAGTTTTACTGGTCTGTTTTCATCTCTTTCTCTGTTTTATTTGGCTTAATAGTTGATATGTGATGCAGGGGGATCCGAGACAGATGATGCTGAGCTGTCAGATTGCACGTTGATGGCGCTGAGATACCATGAGTTGGCAGATCAGCGCAAAGGCGGGAATTGATTGTGACATGTTCCTTATTGGGGTCGTTTTGAGTATGTTTCAGTCTTTTGGCCATAACTTTGGCTA